AAGCAGGGAAAGCGATAGCGAATAAATGTTCCTATTACCTGTGCTTCAGTTAATTGGTTCTGTAACTGATTCACAATCACATCTTTCCTGTGAAAAGTATTTAGAAATATAAAGATAAATCTAAAATACACAAATACAATCAAGAGAAGTAGTGTTAAATATTATATATATTTGTAAAAATGACTTGGTAACAAGAGTGCTCAACGACCAACTTTTCTCAATTATCACTAATTGATGTCTACATCATATAACAAGTGTTCCCACGCTAATTTAAGTTAATTATTAACACGCCTGGGAAAAAATTATCCGCTCCCCAGTGCCAGCCAGATGAAATTTTGATATATTATTTCCCAGCCAGCAAAGGCTGAAGAGCTTAGTTTCCCAGCTAGGATGGAAATTGAATTTTTTTTTTCAGCCAGGCTAGTTTAAATAGGATTTCCCAGCCAGGAGTGATATGGCAAAGGATAAACAGCTAGGATACGAAATTTACAAGATTTTCAATGTTTATTAATATCCTTTACATCTTTTTTCCTTTCATTCATTCTTTCAATTATTCATTCATTACTTTTTGACTTCCTTCCTTTTATTTAATTTTTCCTTGCCTTATTCTCTTTCTCCCTGTCTTTCTCTCTCCCTCTCCCTTTCTTGTTTTATAAAATCGTGGCATTTGCCTATGCACCACACCCTTTATATTACTGACTAATTAAATCCCCAACAATCAAAGCTCACTTACCTTCAAACCACGAACTCTTACCTTAACTGAAATTGCTTCCATTTACATGCGACAATTCCAACAATGTAACAAGCATGAATGTTGTGGTGACAGATTTAGCGAAAGTTGTTAGTATACTAACCGTTATTCCTTTGGTTATGGTATTGTTGTTACCCACCATACCTTCACTACTAAAATGTAAAAAATTCGTATAAACCATATTTTTAGGTGCCAGAAAAAAAAATCATCGCAATAATCCTACACCATAAGACCGTTCTTCATACCGCCTGACAAGAGCATTTTTACTTCACAAAGGCTAAAAATTTGTCTCGCAAAATTTATTAGCAAGACTTAGCCCGGGACTTTATTGATTACATTTGGTAAATCGCGTTTACCATTCTTCGATCAAAATTGGTGTGAGGCATTTCAAACTGATTTGCTTACCAACAATATAGACYTTTGATTTGAAAGCACCAGAATTTGAGCTGGAAATAAAATATTTAGCTTAGTATCATGATCAAGACATCAAGCTTAAGTTAAAATAAGACTTGGATACACCAGCGGAATTCGAGGATCATAAAAGCATATAATCGTTATAAACGTTGGAAAGCAGTGTTCAGGAGCCATAGTCAATACGAATTTTGCTCAACAGTAAAAAGAATAAAGTCAGGTATACCTACCTTTGCAAAACGAGTACCGAGTTCAGTATTAAAAGAACGCCCCCGAAAGTAAAATGTTATAAAATTGATATCCCTTCAGAAATTCCACAACAAATTATGCATATTATAAAACATCACAAAATTATCAATGGCCACTTAATCGCCGCAAAGTTTATACAAGAACACGACAACGTTTCACAGAAAAAGCCACCTAAAATCTCTTACAAGTCGATAACGAAAGGACAATCCCCGAAAAAGCATGCCGGAACATATGCATAGCCCCACNAACAAATTTCCAGTTAATAAATAGTACAGATCTGTGGAATAAATCAATTTGCTTGAGTGAATAAGAGATGTATTTTTAAATGATTTGAGAAACACAAAGCTGTAATTAGTGTGTTTATACATTCTTACCTAAAAATGCTTCAAACAATGAAGAAGAATATACCAAACTCAATTTTTTAAACTTGATGACGCTCACTAACAACCATTAGCCACGTACCATAAAGGCGGTTGCCGGAATGGACAGATTGCGCTCTCGGGGGCTCATTCCATAGCGCAAAGCCGTATGGGTAAATATTTCAAGTCTACATAGTCACCCAGCCTTTGTTAGAGGTACGGTATATAAACCCTAACAAGAAAAAGCCCAGGGAGGGGAGGGTTCCTTGTAATTTATTTTCAGCAGGGAGGGGAGGGTTTCCAGCAATTTATTGACAGTAGGGAGGGGCGGGTTCCCAGCAATTTATTGTCAGGAAATAAATTGACAGCTAGGAAAGGTATACATGAGATAATTAGCCAGGTAGAAAGGTCATGGTCTTAAACTCTTAGCCAGGCTACAAATCAATTCAATTTTCCTAGCCAGGAAAGAAAACCCCTGGGGAGCGGATATTTGTGTATCGGATCCGGTTGAGCACTCTTGTTGGTAATACCGTTGGGCATCGCTAACACTTTATGTGTTGTTTATAGAACGAGAGTGCGTGTTTTATCGGGATTTGGGGCCTTTGTTATAACAAATCAAAACACAATTATTTTATCATTGTTAACACCTACATTACTGATATAAAAATAACCTGTAATAATGATTTGAAGAAGACGGCAATGTAAATCATAAACTTAATTCATCGTATACCCAATAAAACACACACTCGAGTTCTATAAACGACTTCTATAACTCCAACATCAATGTGCCGACATGAGCTATAGCTAGACTAGCCGTTCTTTCGTGTGGGATCAAAATTCTTTCAATTGTGGCACAATGCACATGCTCATTAGAAGTTCAATATGCATTATCACTGTTTTCKCATTTTTTRSYKTTTTTCTAAAATGATAACAATTTCTGAATGTTGGAGTTCTAGAAGTCGTTTATATAACTCGAGTGTGTGTTTTATCGGGTATATATAATTTCTCTTGGTTGATTGCTCTTTTGCCCTACATCAGCCCTTTGCATTGATGGGAGAGTCTACGTAGCACTCAGTTGATGCAATATATTCATAAAGATATAATACAAAACACATAATACAATAGAACGAGAAACAATGGAATACAATACATTTTGTGAATACATTACATCAACTGCGTGCTACGTAGGTCACCCCTTGCATTGATCTGGGCTTCACAATGTCGTCGTCCCAGTCCCTTATCCCTTCGAAGTGTCCGGGAAAGACTGAGACTATAGACTATATTCCTTTGTGATTTCAGATTTTACTGCGCATGCTTGTGCCTTATCTGAGCGTCAATTCTACTAACCTGTCATWTTCTTTCGACATTTTTTCAAATGTAGAGCTTCTTTTTAGAAGTCCTTTTTCTCTAGTGACATAATTAAACTTTCTATTCAACTGTAAAGTTTGTTGCATGAACACAGCCCAGTCCATTCTTAGGTAATATTTGATCTGCTGAAACTCCAACTGTTCGTTTCTAGTGGAAAACCAAATATGATAAATAGAAAAAGCAATACGAGAAGAATTAATTACTTTATAAGACTCAAGGGAATTGACTGTCCTTATAATATACGTATTCGTTCGTATTCGTGTGCAGTTCAGTATGCAGTCGATGGCCTTTGGATAAAGGCAGAAATATTCAAAAGTAAAATATGTTGTAAAACTCATGAATAATTAATGAGGAAAACACAATAGAAATCATAACCGTGAAGAGTGTTGTAATATTTGATACAAAACTGTCTTGATTTGCATAAGCTTCAAATCTAATTTTCTCAGCCAAATTCAATTTTATCTTTAAGTTTTTAGTAGATTTTGAATGTATACACCTAAACATTTACAAGTTACAACGAGTTTGCGTCCGTGTTGTATGGGCTTGACAATATATCTCTCGCCTTCGGCTCAAGATTGTAAAATCCCATACAACACGTCCGCTCATGTTTTAAACATTACATAAATATTCTCGTATTACTYTTTCTATTCAAACTTTATGCCCAAAAGAATATAAATATTATAAAGTGGTTGCCTGCACTTTATCGAGATTTTTTGCTGTATATCGAGCCTCTTTGTCCTTATATGACTAATTATAGGGGCATGGTATACCAGCATCCCTTGAGAGACTTGGCTTATTTTATTCTAAAACTGGAGTTATTTTAAAAGATAAAGTTTTATTATCCCTCTAATGAATGGAATTCTGATTTAATATGCGATTTT